AATGAAGCTGTATATGAAGCAGATGGAAACTTTTTTTTTTTGTTATGCATAATCAAAAGTATACCGCACAATATTTTTCTATTCTAGCTACAAATCACCTACCAACCAACCCACCAATAAGAGAATACCAATTAAACTTGCACTGACCAATTAGATCTGCATTAATTTTAGAGGGAAGAGTTCTTTCATTTCCGTTACGATTTTATTTGATATTTCTGAGATCTCCAAATGTGAGCGAAGAACGTTGGACTTCATTTCTGAACATTTAACTTGAAAGGGAAAACTTTTGATACATTATTATTGCAGTGTATTTTTCTCGATTAATTGAAATAGAAAGTGTTTTGCACTTGTAACTGCACCTATGTTCTGAAACGTACGGCACCAGCCAGATAAGGCAAATTTAATTCCTCTTTATTTCACACTTTCAGATTTTTTAGGTGAGTTCAAAAAAAAAGCGTTGTCATGTCTAAGTGGAGACAACGGTTTTTAAAGTTCGCAAAATTGTTCAAAGCTATTACCTTCTATTGCCTTCTAAAGTATAGTATAGTAGACCTGAACACGTTGGTCATCGTACCTTTTCGCAACCTTAAAACCCGTACACCATTTGTAGATCCTATCTCCATGACAATCATCGCCCTAAATTTCGTACACCAGTTGAAGTGGGGAGCAATTAAGCTTTCAGTTCAAGCTAAATAGAAACTCTTTCCACAATATTTAATTTCGAAAGAGTTACGAGCTTCTTTAGTCTCAGATATATTTATAACTGGTAGAACTTTTGCAGGGTATAATTTGCTCATTTCCTTTTGTATTATGCCCGCCACTATGGGACGGTTTTTTGTTTTTTTTTCCCACAATGTATATAACATCCAAAAGGAAGCTTCAGAGACCCTATAAACGGTATATATTCTTAATCAACGTGAAGTTCTGAATTGGCTAAGCTATCCGTCTGTGTGTTGTCGTTAATCAAAATTATAAAAATTAGAAGGTTGAAATTTTTTCCATTTATTTCACGAGGTATTCTCTACGCCCACGCTAAGTTACAAGCGATAAAATTTTATTTTTTTTACTTTTTTGAGCTTTTATGCTTAATTATTATAACACAAACAAGATAATCTTTAAAACTATTTTGTAAATTCCTCAAATATCTGCCTCAAAATGAATTAATTCTAAAATGAATATGGCAGACACTGCGATTAGTTTTTTCTTAACAATATCAGCGATATGGTCATCACATAAAAGAACTTGGGGAGTAGAATGCAAAAAACATAGTTTTGGGTTCGCGAAAATTCCACATGAAATATGAAAAAATTCAATTCTATGCTAACCAGAAGAAAGGGCTGCTAACAGAATTTAAGAAGAGCGAAATTAAAACACGATTTCAATATATATATATACGTATATCTATATACGCATATGTAAACGGAAGGCAACACATTTACAACAAGTAAAGTAGAATCTTGCAAAAATGTCCTTGCCTAGTTTGCTTATAGATAGAGATTTACACAAAAAGCATGCATGAAAATAAATATATGGTCGAAATCACCTTTCTCTCAGAAATATGTATTCAAACGCACTTACTTATGCCATACACGTAGGGATATGCGTATACACGAGTCAGGCCGCCCAACCGTTTATATTTTTAAGCAAGTACGAGGCGCTGAGCAAAAGTTTGAACCACTTATTTTAAACATATCTCCAAGGATTACAAAATTAAAACCTTGCAACACCGGTGCCATTATCGCGCTTAATTTGAGACTTTCTGATGTGTAACTGATGTAAATTTGAATCAAGAAGAGATTCTTAATCTATATATTGCAAAAGGACACATGAGATTTTGAATATATTAATGCTAGTATGATTGGTGAATATTTGAAGGGAAATCTCAAATTTTCCAAGAGAAACGTCGCAGTTATTTAGCAATAGATAACGTTTCACTCAACGTATTGAATGTCCGTTGTAATCCCTTTATAATTTAGGTTTAAGAATTATACAAATATTTGACAAGAAGGGCGTAAACTAAGCAGTCATGAAAAATCGTCGAGAAAAACCCGTTTAAATTTCCGTAATTGTTTACAATATTTTTATCATCAGTCCACAATCTCTCAAGATTACAAAACTGCCTCTTTCTATGCAGAAACACTGTTCCCTATCGTCTTTTCTCGAAGACTTTTTGCTGAAAGCTGCTGCCTCTATTGCATCTCTCGAAAAGAGAATCGCTTGTGCTAGACTTCATACATTGCGTTTACATTGAAATCAGCGAGAAAATGAGTACTTCTGTGGCCGCACTCGTAATCTACATGAAAATCTCCAACTCAAACTTTTGGCAGAACACCTTAACATCTCTCACCTTAGCGGCGGAGAAGGATGTATTAGTCCTAATCCGTTTGTTTTTATGTTAAACCATACCGTAAAGTGTCTCACAAGCTGACAATTAAAATAGGCTATATTAGCATAAAACATAATACTTGATTTCAAATCGTGTAAAGATAATAACAAAATCTTTAAAAAGCAAAAAAGTAAGAAAATTGTATTTGGCTGTGACCGAATCTTTCATGTTCACCGTCTTTGTCCCACACCGGACTAAAAATACAACGAAAAACTAAATTTTCGCACTCCATAATATTGCATAGGAGGATTATCTCCATTTTTGCCTGGAAAAAACACAGAAAGCAGTTTAGGATCCCACTCACTGTAACTAAAAAAATCTGTTGTTCATTCTTTCCAATACGATAAGAATAGGAACTCATACTTACATAGCAACAATAATTCTTAAAGGCAGTGCAAATTGAAAATCTAAAAATTTTATCTACATTTAGACTAACAAAAATTGTAAACTTTTAAAAAAGAATTATTTCCACGTCTCAAAATACAAAGAAATATAAATTACATGGAATTCAAAAGTTCATGAAATCGGCTTTATAAAGGTGTTTTATTTTTATCGTATCTGGCAAAAAATTTTAATAAATAAAAATAAATTTGGCATTTTCGTTTTGTTTTAATGAAAGCTAAATGGAATTTTTTAGCAAAACAAATTGAAATTTTTTCAACAAACTTTTCTTAAAATTATGAGAAATCCTCTTGTGGACATATTTAACATTATGTGTAGCGACATAAAACTACTGATAGAGCTTTCACTACAAGAATACTCGGGTATCAAAGAAGACCAAGTAAACGGCAGAACATTCTAAGAAAGTTGACACAAGCAAATTATAACAGAAATATATTGACAGTATTTAATCAATGAATAGTGGCCTTAAGCAAAATGGGGGATATACTAGATTTTCTATTTCATTTGTAACATCTAGACTGTAGATATCCTATAAAATATATTTTTATCAGAGTAAAATATCGAGTGTATTTCGTAACTAAAGGAAGACATAAGATTTTATGAGCTGGTTTTTATGGAATTGCTGTTATTGTCTTTTGCCTTTCAAAATGACGGAAAAACGGGGCAAATACCTCTACAATCACCCAACTCAGACACACCCGTATGCAAAGTTATTATTTGCAAATGTAATGTACTAATTGATGCAGTGTTCCTATCAATTGGTGATTGCAAGAAAAGCGATTTCAGCTGTTCACTTGATCGTATCGGAGAAGTTTCTAAAGAAATATTCGGCATCTAAAATATCCCGCACACAAACGTATTCTGATAAAAGGGGACATGTAATAATAATAAACAAGATTACAGATTTAACCCCTTGCATGGATTGAAATGACTTAGGAATTTAGGTTAATGAAACGCCTTAATAAATATCTAGGGGTTACAAGGTAATCAATCATTCCGTGAAAACTAGGATACGAGACTGCGTTAGACACTTCTATTACGTTTTATATAAGCGAACGACAAGATTACGGATAATTTTATTTTGTGTGTTTTGATTAAACGTTGCATTTACCAAAAAAACCAGTAAGCGTACAAGGAAAACATTAGAACACTTTCATTTCCTCTTTTACATCTTAAGCAGGTCTTTCCTGTCATGCCATTATTTATATTGTTTACGAATGAAACAAAAAAATAAATATAAAACGCTGATGATGTTTGTGACGATAAGTATACGTATGTAAAAAGGTGTGTTTTAGCATATGAAAGATGCTCAGTTAAATCCAGGATAAGTAAGAGTAGAATAATAACAACATAAATAAATTTGTGCATAAAACAATATTAAAATACGAACAAAATATAAAAAAAAAATCGGTGTGCGCTTTTGTGTAAACAAACAGATAAGTTGGTGATAAAATACACATATACTTGAGTAAAGCATTTGTAAGCATTTAATACATCGATCAATAATTTTCAGCACAAAGTAAGAAAAACATTTTGTTTCTTTGCAAAATTCGACTTTATTCACCAACATAGTCTTCCTTATAGGTAATACAATCGATTCAACGCGTCTTTAACGTTTTTATACCCTTTATCAAAATCTTTTTCCCTCAAGGGCATCCTTTTGAAATTTGAACACAGATAGCACCCGCAGGAACCCAGATTTGGCAGAGTGAGTACACTATCTTCTGGCATTCTTAGGATATCTATTTTCAAAACTGGTTGAAAGCTTTTTGTGTAACCAACACACATGGTTGAAATGATGTGTAATTTTGGGAGGCGTACTTAGACAATTTTAGCTTTCTAAAAATAATACGGATTTTTAGATATTTGAGATATTTATATGGTAGTCTGGGAATTATTGACTGACCATTTATACATGCATTGACCTAAGCTGTAGTCGTTTCATACCACAATGCTAAGAATATTATAAATTTAAACGGAAAATTTAAACGTAAACAATTTTATACACTTCTACTGACACCCACTTAAATGCAATTGCATTTCCCATTTCAGGGTATGCGCGCATTATATGTGCGTGTACATATGCAAGCAATGAAAA